AACAAAAAGACTAAATACTAGTGAATATTACACGAGTTTTGTTAGCAGGTTCGTATTTTGCCTTTTTGAATACTACGTTTATAAACATTGTGCTGTAAAAACTTCTTTAAGCAATTGTTAGTGTGCTCGGGCCAGCCATAGCCTAATGGTTTATGGTTCGTTACTGCAAAAACACACTACACGCTCTGGGGTCATCGGCACAAGAGTAATCCAAACGTTGGCGGTGTTGTTGTTGACTGTTTGCCTTCCCTGTAGTCTATCAGTTCAAAATGGAGACGACTATACGCAGATAAGGCTTTGCAAGAAAGTATTGAAACAAATAAACAGTGTGCTTTTATCTTCATTACTGATAATAGGTGAAAAGAATCCCTACAATATTGTAACATATTCGTTAGTGAAAGCAGGTGAAAAGAGTCCGTACAATATTGTAACGTGTTCATTACTGACAGCTGATGGAAACAGGTGCTACAATATTATAATGTGTTCGATAACAGAAAACTAGTGTAAAGCCTGCGACATTCTTCTCTAACCTTTGTGAAAGAAAACCTTCCTATACTGCTTAACAAGTTAGTTCTCCGAAATGGGCCAAAGGTCACCTGTTTTAACTACTCGCACCGTTATACAGTAGTGTGTTGTCAGTCAGTAGACAATAAAATGACGTCATTTAAGGGACACTTAACATTGTATTTGTATGGTCGTGACGTTACTAATACGTGCGGATGCCATGAATCACGAGAAGAATTATATACTCTGTAGGGTACAACACAACATGACATATGAACTTCAAAAGCAAGAAATAAATATATTGTTACTCTTAATTTTAGTTTCATTTACTCTTGAAACAGAACACTTTCAGGGACCGTCCGGAAGTATATCTAGTCTATATACACACACATTAACTTCCCATATTACGTCTTCATTTGATAATACTTTTTGGTTTATTTACTTTCTATATTTTTCTAATTTATTAATTGTCATTGTTTGTTTGGATACTTTAGTATAAAACACGACATTCAATCGACAAAAGCAACGTTAAATGTAATAATACAGACGCAGCTTCTGTCTTTGAAATATTTTTTTCTTTCAAACGTTTTTCAAGAAGCTACCCAAATGGTTATCAGTGCATAGCCGTCCTTAATTTGAGCTATTCGCAGGCTACTCCTTTCCCTGACCGAAAAGTCAAATTTGAACTCGCTTTTATAGTATATCTACAGCACCAATGCGCTGCCCCCTGCTTTTTTTTAGCAGCAAAGGACCACGAACCATGAACCCTCGGATTCACACTCTAAGTAATAGTGACTGGTGTTTCACCCCACTAGTTAAAAAACCTAACATCACCTCCGAAGTTTAACAATTAACGTCTGTTCAAATTTTTTTTAACCTCATTGACACATCTATTTTCATACATGAATTAAACCTGTATATTTGTCGTAAAGTATTTTTAAAATATTATTTACGACGTATTTTTGTGTGTGTATTTTGTAAGTTTATGTTTGGGTATTATTAAAGGTAAAACTCCTTTTATATGTTTGTTGATATACATTATACTCTCTTAACTTAAACAAATAAAAAATATTTATTTCCAATTTACATTCAGCTCAAATATAGCATGAGCAAAATATCAATACGTAGAAATATACATAAAAATACTCTTGGAAGCTTATTTGAGTTTAAAGACGATGATTTTTGATATTTTATATGTAGTTTCTAATTAAATCCAACACTCATTTTACGTTTGTAAGACTGAATTTTCAAACAGAACCACAATAAAATGTTATTTTTCAAATTCAAAGATATCGTACATTATTTAATGAAAACATAAACAGTTACTTACGCTTAAGTAATTATACTCTATAAAACTGCTTAAAAACGGAAGTTAAAGATATGGCAATAAAAGCTTTATGGATGAACTGCACTTTCATAATTAACTCTTATGAACAAAAACGACAATGAATCTGCTCTTTAAAAAAAGTAGGGGAACGATTATTTGCAATTTTTAATAATTTAAGTTAGAACACAGTATTTTAGATGTTTCAGTTAAAACTACCTAAAAAGAAAAATTAAACCTTTCCCATGTACGCGACACACAAACTGATAGAGTTATATCACGTTTCTTAATTGTTAATTACCTAAATATTTATTGGCTAGATACAAAATGAGGGGAACCTGGTATGAAATGTTACGAAACTGGCATATTTCAGTACTGAACCTCACACACAGTACTGATAATGATTAGCCAATTGATGATCAATACTACATTTTTTACTTACAACTGTTCTGTTTTTACTTTTACCAGAGCTTAAAAAAACAGATTAAATGCCTTCTAAAGTTGGTCGGTATTGAGAAAATATATCGCCATAAAATGCCTTAAGCATTACAGGATTGTTTTATATAAACTATTGTTTGAGGGGACTGTATTTATTATTATTATTATTCATTTACCCATTTTTATCAAAGAAAACTAATTCATTATTGTTATCGTTCTTTAAAAGTGATCTAAGTATCTCGTGTTCGAGTGTATTATCAAGGTAAATTATAAATAATATACTCGATAAATACTAATAAAGATTCATAGCACTAAAATACATAACTTTTCTCAGTCATTTCTAGGCACTTTTTCAAATACAGGTGTTTTCAATAGTGGCATGTTAATCAATTTCTTTGACTAACTCATCACAACTAACTGTATTTGTATTTTATACGACTTTGATAATCGTATTGCAACATTATTTAGTTCACTAGTGAAAAAAATGATTGATAATGAAAAGCATTTTAAAAATAGAAAAAGTCATATATTCACAATATCTAAATTTCATTACAGATTTAAAAAAGAATTAATAATTACTTAAACCAAATCAGAAGTTTTATTCTTATGTTTTCCTCATAATATTAAAATATCTTACAAAAATATTGCAACCAGAAACCTATTTCCTTTAAAATTATTTTACATTTCAGTTTGCGCTAAAACAATCTGTAAACCAAAACAGCTCAACAATGTTCGATAAGTGCAACACTGTGTTTAAGAACATTTTCTCAGTTTTAAATAAAACCTAAACAATCTTCTTTCAAATTTGCAGTTCTTTGGTGATTGTTGATAATCAAGGGGTGGTACGCAGCTTAATAGATGTTGTAGTATCTATAAATAACGCACCTATTTAGATCAGACTGGCCCATTCATTCAGTACATACACTCATTGTTAAGTTCAAACTCCGTGAACTGGTGTCAAAGAGTTAAAAAAAAGCTACAAAGGAACTTTTAACATTATCTATATGTTTAAAATACTATCAAGACATTAAAAATAGGCTTTGAATGGAATGTTACATAATTTTTTTTTGTGGGGTGTAACAGTTCAATTAGTATTAGTTCATATATATCTACCTTCGTAACTTATTTTAAACTGGCCTCAATACAAACCACAAATAACTGTTTTTATTTGTTGGTTTATATAACCTAAAACAATAAACGTGTATTTTTTATATTCAGACTTTATATTTAAACGTTAGATATATACAGTTACATCATTACTACTTCTATTTTATAAGCAACATTCTCTGTAATAGCACCCTTAGTAACAGTAAAACCATACTAGCGAATTGGGTTATTTGGAAAGACGATGAAAACGAGTATAAGTGTTGGTCAAGAAACCTCTGTGGGGTTGATAAGATAACCCACTAACTAGTGGTGCAGTGTACAAGCTACATGCCACCTAATACAACGAAGTGACACGTACAAAAATTGAAAACAACAAAAACTATGCTGATAAAGGATGTAATTATGGAAAGTCAATATCTGTCGTCAGGGTGTGTTAGTTGAATTGACTTTGGGTGAACACAGGTTTATCATCAGCAGTTTGTGTACAGGTATTAATAGATTTATCAAAGCACACATGAAAATACTTCTACCGTGTTCACTCCCTACCAATAATATACAGAACCATAATTAATACAAGTTTTCAGATAAGGCAGTATTATTGTCAAGTTACTCTATACGTGCACCAGAAGGCTCTGTAACTCACGTTTTTCAAGTAAATATATATATATATATATATATATACGACTCACTGGAGACCTCTTTATTATTCTATTATTGGACAATATGATTTAATTTTTTTGCAATCATTTTTATACAGACTTTTGATCGTATAGGTGTTTCACCTATTTGTTTGTTTGTTTTTATACATTTTGAAACGCGAACATTTTATGAATATTTTAGGTTTAACTTCATACAACATAGAATAAAGATATCACTGTACATTAACAATTTGTCCAACAATAACTATATCGATCTCTTGGAAAAGGCGTTTGAATAAAGGGCATAAAGCTAAAATAACATGACAACTATATTTTATCGCGACAAACTTACGGTCGTTGTGACATTTTGGTAAGAACTCTATCTAAACAAGAACTATACAATGACATGTGATGACTTCCTCTAAATATTAATTAAATCATCTCTATACAAGTAATGCACACTGAAATAATCCACTTCTTCATGCACACTCAGTCGTCGGTCATTAGAAATACGTCTTCATTACCATTTCATTCAATAAACATTTCAGATTATTACGACGATTAGGAAGTTCAAAGAGAAAAAATCTTTCTCAAAACCTCCGACTGAATTCATCAAATGTCCTCTGTTTCTTTGGGTACCAGTTTGTCATTTCTCTCGATAATCTGGACTGTAAGTCGTTTACGAAACAGGTTTACAAAACTTGAATCACCGTCAACAAATACTACTACCTTTCACTTTGCAAACATGCCAGATCGTCTGTACTTTACTGGTACTGTGGTCTCCATCCGGTGGCATTAGGTCCAAACTTGTACACCAGACGGCGCCCAAACACAGGTAGCAGAACCTGGCTCTTGTAGTAATATCTGTTGCGTAAACAATTATACACGACATTTTTTGTTAATAGCAAATACGAGTTTTTGTTGGCTAAAAACTGTGGTGTTTATGTAAACAACTTTATATTTTCAAATACACAAGAGCATAAACATCATAAATACAAAAACTATGTATTAACAAAGCATGTGGTCTGCGTACATAACAGTCTGGAATGTAAACCTTACCATGTACAAAATAAATCAACATACATTCAAGCTATAACAAAAAAAAAGTTAAAATCAATATTATTATTATATGAAAATAATATGCTGGTTACAGTATTACATATTTAAATAATTACAATATTATAATTATGAAAACACAAGCCTGAAAATTAATTTTTCCCATAACCAACAATAAAAGTTAAAATAAAAACATTTACTTAAAAAATAAACTGTAGTATCGATACAAGTGTGATGAGAAAGTAACACTTAGTACCAAGAATAATTGCAGACGTTAGTAATCATCCAACGATTCTCAAAAACATTTATATGAACATTAAAAAACACGTTCTTGCTTCAAACACATCCTCAAATATGGAACTTATGTTGACTACTTAACGAACTAGATAATTAACGGTAAATGAGATCAGGACTTGTTTTGGTTGTTGTGTTAACACGAGATATTTATACTATGTTAAACTTCTCATGGTATAAAAAACAATCGTGTGTTAAACCTTTCTCACTTACGCTACAAAAGTAAAATACTAACTATGACTTGACTTCTTGTGTAAAAAAAAAAAAAAATACACAAAAATATTTACAAATGTACAGTCCTTTAAAATCATTTGCGAAATACCAACAAAACAAATGTTGATACTCTTATAGGCCTATTTTTATTGTTTCGATTGTAATAAAAGATCAAACAAAAGACATGCAAGTATCACACTCAATTATACAGTACGAGAACAATGTACATGTATAATTAGGTTTCTGGTGATATCCATACTATACTAGAGCATCAATTGCATGATACTCAAATTACAAGTGTCATCTACGTGAATGACCAGGAATCACGATTTGGAAAACAAAACTGGACAATCACGATATAAGTAACCTTGGATTTCAGTGCCACGTCTAGTAACAGATGAGGTGTTTGTGAAAAAAAAAAAGTTTGCTAAGGAAGCAAAGTGCTCAGCCACCAGATAATCCACGAAAAGCACTAATTTGACAATATATTTCTCCAATCTTCACAGTCCTTCTGTTTTCTCTTAAATGTTTTCAATACTCAGAATGCAATATGGATGTTCATCTCATCCACACACAGACTGTTTTTAGCACTATGAATACCCATAACTAACTGCTGCTTTCTAGTATTTTTAACAAATAAAACGAATTTTAGAAGAAAATTGCCGATTATTTTTGTTATCCGAAATTATTAACTTTGAAAATATGAGGTATCCTTATAACCTTTCATTGGAATTAGTTTTACCAAGAACTGGAGGGTAAAAACAAACGTTCCTAGATTCTGAGAGCACAACAGATTAGCATGTCCCTTCATCTGGAAAGGAACGCAATGTCCACCGACCAACGAATCCCTTCATTACTAAGGCTGTAACCACCAAGTAAAGCTGTAACCACTAAGCAACGCGTCCCTTCATTAGTAAGGCTATAACCACCAAGTAAAGCGTCTCTTTCTTAGTAAAGCTGTAACTACCAAGCAACGCGTCCCTTCTTTGGTAAGACTGTAACTACCAAGCAACGCGTCCCTTCTTTGGTAAGACTGTGACCACCAAGCAATGCGTCCCTTCTTTAGTAAGGCTCGAACTACCAAGTAAAGCTGTAGCCACCATCCAACGTGTCCCTTCATTAGTAATGTTGTAACCACCAAGTAAGCATCCCTTCAGTAACAAAGATGTGTGTGTTTTCTTATATCAAAGCCACATCGGGATATCTCCTGTGTCCACAGAGAGGAATCGAACCCCTTATTCCAGGACTGTAAATCCGAAGACTTACCGCTGTTCCACCAGGGGACAAAAAAGATGTAACCTCTATTTAACATGACCCTTCACTGAAATCTGTTATCACGTTACGTCATTTATTGAGTGGAATCAATTTGTTTTACAAAATTATTCCAACAATAATTAGACTTATCTAAACAGTAGCTCCAATCCAAAGTATATTTATGCGCGCTTACTACAACTGTATAAGAAAAACAAACAATTAAACTAATAAAGTCTAATATAATATATTGGTATACAATATCATCATGAAACTGATCCATTGTGTGTTTGTTAGCATCCACCGCACAGAGTTGAATGGTTCGCTTACTGTTTTGATTTAGGTATTTTACCAAGTACAGTAATAAAACAAAGCCTATGAAATAGAGCACATTTACAGTTTTTGTGGACAGACTTTTGGCTTTAAATTTAAAGTACTTAATCAGTTAAATAGTCAGTTATTCCCTTCCATAAAGTAAGGTATACAACTAGCATCTAATGAGATCTCTGTGATTCAATTAGAGAAAACAGAAGGAAGAGGATCATTATTTAAACCCTGTCATTTATAATTTTTGCTTCCTTAACGGGTACCTCAGATAATATATAACAAGATCTGGGTGAATTCTGGTGTGTACTTGACGGAAAACTCAATTGCAATTATCCTTCGAATTCAATTCTGTGTTCTTTACTTTTTTTTTGCATGTATCTGTACTTTACTGGATAAGAGTGGACCTCATGTTTTACTTCTTTGATTGTTTCGAAGAAATAGAATTAATGCTACACAATGAAAGTTACCAATAAGGATCTGTATAGAAAAATCGTATATGAATTTTAATAAAATATTAAAACTTTCTGAATATTAAACATCACAAATTGTTATAACACTTCAAAATCATTGTTCAGTTACAGGAATTAAAATTATTTTATAGATATTAGATTGGAATCACTCTTTGGCCTTTAACTATGTTAATATGTTCAATATGTCTTCGTCAAGAATTTAATTAAGTAGGCTTTCAATATTGGTATACTCTGTTAAAGGAACTTTCAAGCACCACATAATAGATGACAACATTAACCATGGGTTCCATGTTAATTAAGCCTTAAGCAAACTTATATGAAAACATGACCATGTTTACACTTCCAGGAAGCATCAGCTGAAGACTATGAAACATATACACTTACAAAACAAATGTCGGAAGCAGGCCTGAGTAGGCGGGAATTGCGAGTTTTAGTTACATTTGCCCACTCTCTTCTAGTGCTCTAATCACCACCTCAAGTAAACAAAAAAATGTTAATTTTAAAGAAGATAGAGAAAATACAGATACAAAAATATTCATGCTTCTAGCAAATTATATTATTTTATGTTTTTTATATTTTAGTTAGTACAACAGTGTCATTAAAGGAAAGACCCCAAAGACGAGCATCATCACCACCACCACCACCACCAAAAAAGTGACATCAGACCATGCAGTTAGGCTGTCGCCACCCTGAAGCTCGAGGACCAAACTTGTAAACAAGTTTCTTAGGAAGACCTTCGTTCTTAGGAACTGGTGCCAAAATGCCGACATTGTAGTAGGTCCTAAGAGTAGTACAGAGAAAACATAAGTTAGTGAGATTATCGTTACCTACTGCACTCATCCTGTTTATTGATGAAGAAATCATGTGTGTGTGCAGAAAAAATAGAAAATAATATATTATGATTGATATCACCAAAAGTTACTAACACGCAAATAAAGTTTTGTTCTGCATTTTGTTTTGTTTTTTCTGTCTTAATCAAAATCTAATGAATGTTAAATCAATATTTCACGGTTTTATGGTGAACGCCTTTAAAATATTTACCATTAAAACGACAGGACACATGTAATACGAGATCGAAACCTTATATAGGTCAGATATTGGACAACGCTTTCATAATTGATATACGTACTCTCGATACGGCATTTCAGTTTTACTTGCTTGTTTTAGAACAAAACCATTTTGGGCTATCTTCTGTGTTCATCGCGGGGAATTTAACCCTGGATTTTAGCATTGCAAGTCCAAAGACTTACCGCTGTCCCATTGAGGGACATCTGATTTACAACAGAATTAAGATATACAAACATCAGGAACTTAGTTTTTGCTTTAATTATCCGGTCTCGACAATAACATGAAATGTTAACTACCCTATTAAAAAGTTCTTAATAACTTGCAACGGATGCTGGTTATTTTAGTAAACCAATAAAATTCAGTTTGTTACAATAAGACAAGTTAAAACAGCTTTATTATATTGTACAGCTTGAAAATGTATAGCCTACAATAATTATTTCGCATTTATAGAAGTCGTTCTTCTTTTGAAAGAAATATATTGTTTCGTACAAACTATACTGCAGCTTGTATCCAAACAATCACCTCTTGTTTAAACAATTGAAACTGTTAACAATATCTAATTAATTCATAAACTACAGTTTTTACGAAACTCATATTTTATATAGTTTGTTATTATTTGTTTGTTGTTTTATGCAAATCAACCCATACAAATAGGCTATCTACGTTCTGTCCAGCGCGAAAAATCGAACCCCGGATGTTAGTATTGTATGTCTGTAAACTTACTGGAGGACTTCTCATTATTATTTAATTCGTATACCTTTCATGTAAGTATAATATAAATACACATTTCAGTGCAAGACTTGCAACTCTAACAACACGTCAGTGCAAGATTTGCAACTCTAGCGACAGGTCAGTGCGAGATTTGCAACTCTAACGACACGTCATTGCCACATTTGCAACCCTGACGACACGTCATTGCCACAGTTTTGCAAATGTGGCAATGACGTGTCGTTAGAGTTGCAAATGTGGCAATGACGTGTCGTTAGAGTTGCCTCTAACAACACGTAACAAACCATACCTCATTGCTCTGCTCAGCTTTTCATACGTCATACTTGTGTTCTGTTTTCGTTCTCCCCACAGTTTGGCGACTTTATCCGATTGTACGAACTTGAATATTCCTTCCTCACGTCTCTCCCACCGGATATATGTTGGGTTGTACAAAGGATTCAGCAACAAGTCCCGGATAAACTCCCAAAGTTTTCCGTGACCTTTTCCTGGGTTGAAAATTATGGTTAAACGCCTTCAAAGTAATTTAATTTTGATACCTTATTCTAATTCACTTAAAACATCAATGTTTCATGTATTTCAAAGAAAACGAAAAATTGTGGGTTATTTTTAAGCAGTTTTTTTATCCTAGTTGTGTCAATTTGTTTTAAGAAGTGACACATTCTTTTCTGGAATGGTAATTACACGTGGACATAAAGAATACTACAGATGTTCTTTAACAATAAGGTGAAACACCAATGTGTATTTTACGTAATGCAAGTTCAATATATTACATCTATTAATACTGATAGTTTTGTAAAAGTATATTTTATATTTTTAAAAACATGATTATATATAAGACATAAAAAAGAGAGCGCCCCCTGTGGGAAAACACACCAGGCACCTGAAATCTCACAACTCTTCCACGTGAAGTTCTTTTTATCTGTCGGTTGTGTTCATACTAGTTTTGTAGACAGACGTAAAAAAAACAGCGCCCCCTGGGCGAAAACACACCAGCACCTGAAATCTCACAACTCTTCCACGTAAAGTTCTTTCCATTTGCCGGTTGTGTTCATACTGGTTTTGTAGACAGTCTGTTCCGGTTCTCTACACCTGAACCAGAGAAGAAACAGGATATCCTGTAAGAACAACATTTAATTCTTACCTTGTCTGTTCCTTGATTTGGCATCCTTCTTAGGTGGCCTCCCTCTTCTCCCAGTTCCAGTCTTTTTCATCACCATGGGAACTGAAGGAAAAGCATCTCTCATAATATTGAAAGTAAACCACAGAAGCTTACATTACATCATATCATTTGTAAACCTTCTACCACACTGAAAATTCTGACATCCATAAACAACTTAAGATATAAAAGAATAAATAAACTTGCAATACACAAGAGTAAATCATATAAACTAAATGCAGATATAACAAGTTATTTCACTTAACGTGTTTCTTGTGTTCTACACTAACGATAGCATACAATAATATTTAAAAGATAGACAAAAAATTGTGCTTCTTCCAAAAACTGTACTTAACATTTAATAATTTATATGAATTGAAAATTAAACCTTTTGTCATCTAGACTAAGTCAAAAGTTGGATAATTCATTTCGATTTCGTCAAGTTTTTGCTAATCTATACCAGTGAAGTTTCTGAGCAAAAATAATTCAATATTGTTTTTGGGAAACAGATACCAAAACGCTAGAAAACAACCCATCCTTTTTGGGTCATTTTGGCCCAATAATTTCAACGATAATACTAGCAATGATAAGATGTTTAAGTTTTTTGTAGAAGTGTTTATTGTAGTTACACACAAAAAAAAAACTGTTGGCTCATTAAGGCAGTTAGTTCTGGTTTGTAACTACACCTATTTTAAGCCTAATAAAACTACACCATATAATAGTATCAGATGGGGTATAAATCCGGACCACGTCGAACTAATAGGATAATGATACATCTCAAATTGAGTTGTGTTCACTTTCCATGATTTTCAATGTGGTTTCCGGTTTGTTTGTTTGTTTTTCTACATATTACATCTTGCGTTAATGTGGTTCATCAAGACTTACTCGGTTTTTGGACGGAGGTAATGGAAGGTATAAAATGAACAGAGTTTACTTGTTTTTCATTCACCGTGCTGAAGCAGCTTGTGGCGCTACTGGTACTCTCACGATCAGAATCTGACGTAATCGAGGAAGAGAAATACAATATCAGACCAGTATAAACAAAAACATTTCCACCAACTGAACTGAATCTCACATTCACTTTATTAGAACACATACCTTGAAAAAATCTAGTATATTATACACTAATAAAGCAGTAATGGCAACACTGACATTATTCTTTTCGACGAATTAAATACATATAATTTCAAATACTGTTCTTTCCTCCACACACGACAATGTAATACTAAAACAATTCTACAAACTTCCAGCAGTTCTTTATTAACGAAGAATTTGTACACTGCATTTCGTTGCTCTGACTCAAGAATTTTATCCGGTTCGTCAGACAATTCTAGTTGGAACGCCGACAGTTTATAGGTGCGCATATTAATTTATAGGTGCGTATATTAATTGTACAAGTACCACTACACCAAGGGGTTTCATTAAAATACATAGAAATGTTTGTTTTATAAAATGTGCAGAAACATATTTCAGCTTTGTTTTTTTGTTTTTGCACTGAAGAAAAGGTAAAAAGAGTAGTTTTAGAGTAAAACATATTACTGATTTATAAGAAAAGGTCAAATATTGGGCATTTCGGTTTTGTTACGCTTATTTCCAGGTTTTTTCTTGATTTGTGAAAGGCCTGTTACAGCGAAAGAACACCTCAATTGAAAACAAATCAAGTCTATTACACAAACGAACAAATACGCGAGTGTATATTAATCTGCTCTATTTACTATTTCTAAACTGAATAAATTGTATTATGCACCAAGCTGAAACAAATGTGTTGTATGTCAACATTTTGTTGTTGTTGTTGTTGGTTACTTTGGCCTTCTGGTACCTCAAAGTTACCCAGTCCTTCTATGAGGTCTTAATATAAACTCAAAGATATCCTAAAAACATACTTGCAACAAAGCTATAGAAGCAAAACTACCGATAAGAGCTAGCCGTCCCTAATTTAGTAGTGAAAGAACCGACAACTCTTGGGTTACTATTTTAGCAACTGACCGTCACATTATAACGCCCCCACGGCTGAAAGAGCGAGCATGTTTGGTTGAACTGAGATTCGAACCCGCAACTCTCAGATTGCGAGTCAAGCGCTCTAACCACCTGGTCTTGCCAGGCCTACTACCAATAAACCTTAATTAACCATTTTTTAGTGCAAACAGTGCTTTAATAAAATGAGCATCTATACCTGTGCATGAATATGAACTTGGACCAGGAATATCATGGCACCGAATGTGTTGCCAAGATTCTGACCCTTGACCTGGCCAAGGAGCAAGCTGATGTTGATCTTGGTGAAATGGTCGTACTGACATCACATTTTCGTTTCGGGCTTATAGAAAAAAATAAAATAAAAATAAATAACTGATTTAACAATAAGTAATACTTTTCTAAAATGAAAACAATGTTTTACAACAAACAGGTGTAATACCAGTAAACATACAACAATACATTTGATTCAGCAACTTCATTAAATACAACATATGTTCGGTAATATTATCAATACATCGGTACACGTGTTGGACAAAAAACAACAATATAACACCAAATTGTTGATTTTATTTAATTAGACACTCAACATTTCACTTTACAGATTTTTCAGGGGCGTTCCACTAAAAGAAACCGTAACTGAGAGTACAAAGCTTCAAATGGTTTAAATAATAAATATTATTTTATTACATTTCTTTCTGGTATTAATATATCTTCGATATACCAATATGCAGTACAGAAATTAAATAAAACAAAAATACATTTAATTCAAAAACTTCGTTACGTACAATGTATCTCTATAACAATATATGCAGTAATAATATGATAAGTAAAACAATACTAAGTTAATGTAATAAAAAATATTGAAGTAAAAATAATTATTTAAATGTCATAAATTTGATATAAAAAGGTTGTTATACTTATAAATATATTTTCTAAGATTGTACATCTCAACATGAATTACACTTACCACTATTAGCTTAGAGTACCCGTTAAGGAAACACAACTTGTATAAAGGACAGTGTTAGATAATGTCCCCTTCCTTTTTTGTTATTAAATCCCTAATGACGTCATTAGATGTAAATTGCATGCCCTACTTTGCAGAAGGGACTAACTGACTTATTTAACTGATTAAGTACTTGTGTCTTTAAATTCAAAGCCAAAAATCTATAACAAAATTTGAAATGTGTTCAACTTCATGATTTTTTTAAACCCACTTGTCAGGTAAAAACTCGTTAGAGTTTCCAGTTGCCACACCAAAAATTAAGCTAATCGAGCCCCTTAACTCTGGGTGATAAATGCTAACATACAAAAAAACAAAAATGGATCATCTTTACAGTAAGATGGTGATTACAAACAAAGCTCTCCTGGATTACACATGTAACTATGACGATTACAAACAAAGCTCTTCTGGGTTACACTTGCAACTATAATGATTACAAACAAAGCTTTCCTGGATTACACTTACCACTATGACGATTAAAACAAAGCTTCTCGAATTACACTTACCACTGTGATGACTACAACAAAGCTCTCCTGGATTACACTTACCACTGTGATGACTACAACAAAGCTTTCCTGGATTACACAACTATGATGATTACAAATAAAGCTTTCCTGGATTACACTTACAACTATGATGATTACAAACAAAGCTTTCTTGGATTACACTTACAACTATGATGACTACAACAAAGCTTTCCTGGATTACACAACTATGATGATTACAAATAAAGCTTTCCTGGATTACACAACTATGATGATTACAAATAAAGCTTTCCTGGATTACACTTACAACTATGATGACTACAACAAAGCTTTCCTGGATTACACAACTATGATGATTACAAACAAAGCTTTCCTGGATTACACAACTATGATGACTACAACAAAGCTCTCCTGGATTACACTTACCACTATGATGATAGAACATAAAGTACTGCAATGCCTCGTATATCCTTTGGCCATATTGTGGATCTAACCGTATAAAATCATAATTATCCATTTTTTCCAGGTCTCTCCCACAGAGACTGGTAAAACCAGGCACGTTTACGTCTATAGCCTCCACTTTGTTTTCTGCGATCCACCAATAAAGCCAATTGATGACGTCAGATGGATTCCAATCGTACACATTTTTATACTTGAAAGACATGTCTGATATTATGTCCCGCAGGTCTAAGTCTAGGTTGAAAGTAAAATTATTCTTGAATAAGTACGCATACTTTAGAGAATGAAAAACATATTCAATAAAGTACAAAGACTGCTTTCGTGGGTAATGAAGAAAACATTATTACATGTTTAACACAGTAACAATCATATAACGTTTCGACAAGGTTATCCGGTGAAGACAAAACCTTGTAGAAACGTTGTAAATTTGTTGCTATGTTAAACTTATAATAAAGTATTCTTCATTACCCATTTAAACAATCTTCAAACTTCATTATCTCATAAATTCCTCTTCATCAAATTCGAAAAAACAAAAACAAAATATTCATTGATAGATTTGCTTTTCCTTTAATAAACTATTCGTGTTCAAACTTCTAAACAGGTGTCCTTAAACGTATCACAATTTGTTCGTTTGTTTGCTGTAGAGAAAAGCCACATTGGGTTATTTTCTGTGTCAACCGTGGATAACTGAACCCCGGATTTGAGCGTTGTAACTCCGTAAAATTACCGTTGTCCCATCAAAATACATACAAGGTTATAGCAAGTGAAGCCTACTTTGTCATCAATATTAGCCTTGTCACAAGGCATTAGTATTATGCCTATTATACTTTCAAACACTACATTCACTAGTGTGGTTGGAATACTATTATTACAAACTCTTTTAATTCTTGAAAATCCTTTGCTATCAACATGTTGTATGACCTCATATGGTATCAGTTTGGAAATCCTTCGTTCGTCCATATCAGTTTAAAAAGAAGGTCAAAAAACTGATACGTTAAATTAAGTATTTTTTGCGAAAGTTATATTTACGACGAGAAAAAGAGTAAATATATAATTTCGTGGTTTTTACTACTAAATTGATAGGTTTCATTAGACTTATAGTGAATGTCATGACTGTTTTTTTCGAAGCAATTTTGATCTCTTATTACGAGAGAAAAAGCATTAAATATTATAAATACCGTAGGTTAAGAAATCGATGTAATGAACCCTATCTGTACACAGCTGGCTAGTACGGGAAGCTGCTTCCTAGTACATTCTTACAGCTTTATTTTGTCTCCAGCACGTTCTTTGCCAATTAATTGTGCCATTAATTACTCGAGGTTCTTCTTCTTCGCGTTTGTATCCTCTTTAACTCTACTAATTGGGCATATATTACTGAAACTCCGTGGGAAACCGAGAGGTTCCTGTTTCTTTATTTTTTGTGTAAAGACTTCACACTCCCACACTTCATTACTTTATTCGATGAATTTTATTTAGCAAGCTAGGGGTGATATAGGTTTATTTTATTATCAGATCTAGGTAGACAAAAGAAATAACAAAATAAATGAGTTCAACGTGATCTAACAGCATTTTTACTGGCTTCAAGTAAATTGACTTTTCTTTCCTCACAACTGCATGGAGTGTATGGTAGTTTTATCATCAAAAACACGTATTCAAAAATGACAACCTATCGGGATGTACATTAAACAAAATTACACAAATAATTTGCAAGTATAATTACAGAAGAATGTAATCATTGGCGAACATCATCTTCCTCGTTCCCTTTTACAGAAAAAGTTATACAATTAACGATACACACCTTTAGAAATTTCACAAATTATATTAATCATATATTATATGGGACATCATCCTTAAAACAAAATCAAATCAGAAACGACTACTTACGACTTCTCTTTTATCTAAGCCACGGGTTCTCAGCATTTTATTTTATAACTCACGCCCAACCGTAAATATTTGTTGGTATTTGTGTCCCCTCC